CAGAGAACAATTGGGGGAGGGGAGAAGGCAGCATCAGCTGTGCCAAGCACTGAGCTTGGGGTCCCCTCCTTCAGGGCAATTGCCCACCTGTCTGCCACCCACCACCCCGGCGTCCCCTTTCCTTGCTGCTGGGACAACTTGCTCCCTGTCAGACTGCCCCTTCCTCCAGCTCCCTAAGACTCAGCTGAGCTGTGGACTCTGGGGGGGGCTGAGGCCCCTGCCCTTGACCACTGGGCTTTTCCTTTGTCGGTCTGTGGCTGCCAGGGGCAGGGAGCTGCGTTTCTAGGCTGGGCTGGTGGAGGGGGCCCTGGTACGCATCACACAGGCCGGGAGGAGGGCTGTCTCCCGCTCCCCCCCAACCTCTGCCATGGGCAGGGCCTGGACAGGGTATAAATAGGTCAGACCGCTGGGCTTTCCTCGCTCTTCCTGTCTCTCCTACTCTCTCTTCTGCGGTTCCTCTCTGTTGGCCTGGTGAGTTGTGGTCGCCTGACTGGCACGCATGGGGTATCAGGCTGAGGCTCGGGGCAGGAGAAGGGGAGGCTGGTGGGGGCCAGATGTACTAAATGGGTCCAGATGCGAGGCTCCGATGTGGAGGCTCTGGGGTGGGATGCATGTGTGCGCGCGCCTGTGCATGTGCAAGAGAGAAAGAAAACAAAAAGACGCGTGCAGGTGGCTGGATTCGAGCTATGTAGCACGTTTTGTGGCTGTAGTGTGTTTTGGTGCGTGCGTAACCCATGGGTGTGCACATTGGCTTGAGTTTGCTGGGTTGCACATGCCTGTGTGTGCACACTTGGGTGTGGGAGGCAAAGCAAAGGCAGAAGGCAACTGTGGGCTTTTGTCTGGTAGCGTCCCATCAGCCTCTGCCCAGCACCCAGCAGCCCAGCCCAAGAGCGCTTGGCAGCCCCACCCCTCCCCTACACCCCTGCCTCTGCCACCTCACCCTGCCCTCCCCGTGCTAGACCCCGGCTTTTTTTCCATGCAGGCTCCTGGGCAGGCCTCCAGCAGCCTCGCCCAACGCTGGGAGGGAGAAGAGTGGGCTGGGCGGGCTTCTGAGGGCTGAGCTGTGGGACTGAGTGAGACCAGGGGAGCTTGCTGCCTGAAAGCCAGAGCCTGCGCAGCGGGCCCTGTGCGAGTTCGCTGCCTGAAGCATGCATTTCCCATGGTGCACGCCCTCCCCGCCAGGAGCTGAGACCCACCTTTCCGAGCTCCCTCTGTGGTGGGAGCAGTGTCCCCAAGTGCTCCTGAGGCATAAGAGTGGGTGGGGCATAGCTGGGGTGGGGTGGAAAAGATAAGGATGCCTCTGTGACCCCAGATCCCGACTGCTACCATGGCGAGTCCTCTGGAAAAAGCCCTGGATGTGATGGTGTCCACCTTCCACAAGTACTCGGGCAAGGAGGGTGACAAGTTCAAGCTCAACAAGTCGGAGCTAAAGGACCTGTTGACTCGGGAGATGCCCAGCTTCTTGGGGGTGAGTGGCTACTGCCTAGAAGTATGTCCCTCTGTGGGGGCTTCCCCTCAGAGGAGGGACAGGGCCCTGGGAGGCACCAGTCTTTCTGCAGGGCAGTGACTGCAGCTGGCACCTATCACTGTGATGGGGAAGTTGGCGCTTGCTCTTGGTGCCCGGGGTGGAAATGTGGTGAGCACCTGTCACTTCCTGGCACTCAGCAGAAAGGGTACTGAGAATGAACAGACAGTTAGGGACCCAGGCAGTCGGCCAGGGGCTTGGCACAACCTAACAGAAGGGCAACTTGTGCTCTAAGGGCTAAGTAACTTCCCAAGGTAGTCAGCGTGCAAAGCTGAGGTCCATGAACCAGGGGGGGTCCACCTCTTGCCATTACTGCAGCAAAGAACCATTTTTTTGAGTTTCTATTAGGCTTTTACATGTGAAGACACTCACACGCCTATTTCCTCTGAGCAATCCTAGCTCCATCTGTATCAAACTTTATGCAATTTATACATGTATTGCTTTCATGACCATTATCTAATTGGGTTCTTGAAACGACCCAGGGAGGGGGGAGATGTGGTCCCCTTTTCCAGTTGCACTCAGGTACGCGCACTTCCTTACCCGTGGGTAACCCTCCTCCCCACCAGCTTGGCCCTGAGGGCTGGAGTTCCAAAGCTGGGTCCCCCAGGAGTGGCCGCGCCTGCCTGAGCTCCACTGCAGGTGGAATCCCGGTCTAGCCTCGGCTCTGTCCCCAGACTTCCGGTTTCTACCTGTAGCCTCTCCCCCTGCAGAAACGGACTGACGAGGCCGCCTTCCAGAAGCTCATGAGCAACCTGGACAGTAACAAGGACAACGAGGTGGACTTCCAGGAGTACTGCATCTTCCTGTCCTGTATCGCCATGATGTGCAATGAGTTCTTCGAGGGCTGCCCCGATAAGCAGCCCCGGAAGAAATGAGGGCTCCCCAGATGCAGGTGGGGAGCCTGCCAGCTGGGGTCCGCCCTGCAGGCAGTGAGCACAGAGCCTCACTTGGGGCTCCTCCAGACGTGAGCACGATGCTGAGCGAGTCAATAAAAATTTTTGGAAACTACGAGGCTGATGGTCTGAGACATTCTGGGAGTGTGGAGTGTGGGGTGGAAGCTGAGGGAGATGGGGGGCTCTGGGGGTAGGTCACAGTTCTGTGGTTGGGAGACTAGTGAAGGTGGGGGAGGATGTGAAGTGACTGTGTGAGTGTGTGTGTGTGTGAGAGACAGAGTTGACTCTGATGGGACCGGAGGCAGTACAGGGGCCCCCAGAGGCTTGGACCGCCCCAGCTGTGGGACCTTATCCAAGGTATTCGTCCCTCCCACCTCTCCAACCTCGCTTCTGGCAGGACCTCTAACTGAGGTTACATCTGCTCCTGGTTGGGGTCTGGAAATGAGTTTGGGTGCCCTGGGGGTGAGGTGGGGGAAAGGGCTGAGTCACGGGGAGGGAGCAGTGAGGCCGTCATGAGATGTGGACAAGGGCTCAGTCCTGACATCTACAGCCCAGGCCATGCCCTGCCACTGCCTTCCAGCACCCTGGCTCCAAACCCGGAGATGAAGGTCAGATCAGAGAGGCGATGTGGAGGGTGACCAGGCCATTGGCAGCAGCCTGAGAATATCATCCTTCTTCACCCCCCTGGGTCTGCCCCAAAGGCCCTGGGGCGAGTGAGATCTGTTATTAGTTATTAATTATGTTCCTTCAGAGAAAAACAAAGGACCTCGGAAGGGATGAGTAGAGGATAGTGGCTGGGGTGGGAGTGAGGGAGATGGTGGGAGGTGGCCATCATTTTGGAGACAAAATTTCAGACCTGATACATAAAGTCGCGATTTTTTCCCCCCCAGGAAAATATCAGGCATGGTGTTGCTTCTCCTTAGGTTAAAAGCCAGTGGCGTCAGCGTACAGGCTGAGGTTAGCTTTCCAGACCATGCCTGGGTGGTATGGGGACCTTTAAGGAAGAGTTGAGTAGAGGGCGCGTCCAGAGGCAGGGAGGGTTTTGTCCCCTTGACCTTTCAAGCTCCCCCCCTTTTTCTCATCACATTGTGTTTTCCTTTCTCAAGCTTCAGAAGAGTGGGGTAGGTGACTCAGATGCTCCTTCAGAGCGTGACTGCAGAGACTTGGGTGGAATTTTGGTCCAGGAGAAAGTTTTCCTCCTCCCTGTTCTCTTGCCCAAGTCTGCCTATCATCCAGGGGTGTGCCCTCCCCTGAGCCTCCTCCTGCATCACTCTCTACCTCGGAAACTCCTGTTGCTAGGCAACCACCCCGTCGCCTCCCTAGTGGAGAGGATGCAGGCAGACTAGGGTGGGGCTGGCAGCAGCCTAGGTGCTAAGCCCCTAACTCAGGTCTGTTCTTAGACTTGGACTGGTTGGTGGTAGAACAATGTCTGAGTCTCCTGGGACACAGGCAATTCCCCCGACCCCTCCCCAATTCCTTATTGCATTGGAACCTGCTCCCTCCAGTCCACAAGCTCTACCTCATCACTAGGCCCTACCCTTCCCCAACCCCTCCCCAATCCCTGACCCTCAGCCCTCCATTCCAGGGGTCTCTGACAGTTCTTTCCCATGAAGATGTGTGAGGTTTAGGAGAAATCATTCACTTGAAAGCCCTTTAAAACCTTAGGCGCCATACCAGCTAATGACCTTGACCTTGACCATGCCCTTGGCAAGAACCATCTTCCCCCGCTGATTCCCATCTCGAGGTGTGTCTGCTCTGTTCTTGGTGGGAGTGGGAGCGCCCCATGTGGAGAGCAGCCTAGGGCCTGGGGGATACCCTGGGTTTGGCTCACACCTCTTGGGTCTCCTTTCCAGGGCCGCCCCGTTTCTCCTCTTCCACCCTGTTGATCTATCAGATTGTGAATTCTGGTTTTGGTTGGGAAAACAAAGCTTCCAAGACTGAAGATGTGTATGCCGTGGTGGGCTGAGTAAGCACCACCCCCTCCATTGGGAAACGTGGAAGACGAGCTTGACAGAGGGGTTTTGTTCCCATTCCTGTCCCAGGAGTCTCCGACCTGGGCCTCCTCATGTCCCTGCCCCTCCCCTGGTTTCCTGGGGACTGGAGAGAGGGCATAAAGGCGGAGAGCAGTGGAGGCAGCTACTTCTGCTGCGTGGGTTCTCTGGCTTGCTCCTTCCTCGGTGAGTTCTTCCTTCTGAGCTCCCTGCAAGCTGGGCGGTGAGGCCAGGGCGTGAAAAGCTGTGACTTCCACCAAGGAAGACCCAGCCTGATGAGTGGGCATGTGCTCAGGAGGAGAGGGCAGGGCATTTGCAACTGTGGCTATCAGCATCTCCTGAGACGGGGTCTTGGGGGAGAGGTGGGGATCAGAACCAGCCAAGAGGCTGCTGCAGATGCCAGAGACCCTAGCATCTCGTGAAGTCTTGGCTGAATCTCCTGGAGGTGGGGAGAAACTAAGGTTTTTGGAAGGTGGGACGTGAATGACAGGTCCAGTTCAAGAACCGCAGGGTGGCTTTGGGCTGGCGGTGATCAGCCAGCGGCTTCTTCCTGCTTGCTCTGGACTCTGCACGGAGTTACCTGCAGCCCTCAAGTTCCCTGGGTGTTGCCTCCTTCCTCCCTTGGGGGAAGTGGTTTTCATGTCTGAGTCACAGGAGATCCAGCTGCCTCTTCCGGTGGGTGGGTGTGGCTGTGCCCCATTCTATGCCACCTCTAGATCCAGCCCTCCGAAGATCCTGGAGATTTCCAGAGGCCAGTCTGTGTGTGTAGTTCCCCGGGTGGGAGCATGAGACCAGCTGGACAAGTCCAAACGCCTCTGCCCTGTTTCCTGTTGAGACCCCATCTCCCAGCTCCAGCCCCAGCCCCCTCCATCCTCTGGACTCTCTCCTTGCCCTGTCCCTCACTTCTATAATAGGACAATCCCCGATATCAGAAGACTCAGGCAGCCCTGCAAAGCCGGGCATCTGGAAAATGAGCTGGCGTGGGGCAGGGGGAAATCTTGCCTCCTTATCTTCTCCATCGTCTGTCACCAGTTCTTCTTTTGGGGCAGTCATCTCATCACCCCTTTGCCCCTAGACCCCTTTTTCAACACCCCTTCAGCAGGACAGTGTGCGGTCTCCTTTGGGGGCCAGTCACTTTCACTGCTCTGGCGGTCCCAAGTGTGCCTTGGGCCTCACGAGAACCTGTGCTGACACATTTGGGTCCACTTGTTGGTGGGTTTTGGTTTCATCATGGGTCCCCGTCTCTGGTCCTTGAGGGAGGACCTGGGAGCTGGGCTAGTGATGGGGGCGGGAGAAGGTCTAGCTTCCCAGGAAACGTGACCTGCCCCGTCCCTTCCGCCTCCAGAGTTGGACATCATCATGGAGACCCCTCTAGAGAAGGCCCTGACCACTATGGTCACCACTTTCCACAAATACTCCGGGAGAGAGGGCAGCAAGCTGACCCTGAGCAAGAGGGAACTAAAGGAGCTGATCAAGAATGAGCTGTGTCTTGGCGAGGTAGGTGACTGTCCCACTTCTTCCCAGAATCCCCCTGTGGGCCCCATGGGGGAGGGGGGCTGGGAAAAACAGAGGAAGCACCGATACCACTATCGGGGGGGAGATGGGAGACCCAGCCCTGCCCCCATAGAGACCCAGGGCAAGGGGACACACACCTGCCCTCAGGGTACTATATTCTCAGCCAGGAGCAGATGGCCAAAGGGGACAGAGGCGGAAAGAAGAGGGTGGACACCTTGGGCCGACACAACCCTAGACCCTGTGCTGGGGGGAGAGTTGGGTTTCTCTGCGAAGAGCCTGTGTGAGGGTTCAGAGATCCAGGAACCTTGATGTTGAGGCCAGGCCCTCACAGCATGGCAGAGCTTGTGTGCGGCATCGTGGGGGATGAGGGGACCTGGGGTCCCGGTTGAGCTGTGCACAGCCCGAGGGCAGGACTCCCACACGCGGGGTTCCCAGCTGGTGCCAACATGGGAACCAAAAGGATCCTTCTGCTAGTTTGTGAAGACGGGGGTGGATGGAGGCAGGGCTGATTCTTACCAGATGGGGGTGGTGGGAGGGAGATGACCTATGAGGTAGTTATTATTTATATAGTTAAAAAAATCGAAGCTCAGATCCATTATATGACTTGGCTAGGGATACCCAGCTAAGGAGAGAGAGGGCCTGGGTGAAAATTCCAGGCCAGGCCTGGGTATCACCTCCCTTCTTCCTTTAAAATTCAGCCTGGGTGCCCTTCCTGTCACATCCTGAACCCTGGCACACCTCCCCAGAGAGGAGGTCCCCCGAGTGTGTCTCTGTGGGCAGGGGACTGAAGCAGGAGCGGGTGTTACCAGGCCTGCTCTCCGGCCTTTCTGCCGGGCCCTCTGCAACCTGGAGTTAATGAGGGCAGAGGGAGAGCCATGGGCCCAGTACACGTTAATTACGGGGGGACCGAGGCCCTGGGGAAGGTCTGGCTATAACAGGAGCCCAGACTGGGGACCAGGATCAAGTCACAGAGAGGCTGTTTCCATCTCTATGTTCCACATCCTGTCTCCTGAGGGAAAGCTGGAGCTGAGGGCCAGGTGTCTCTATTTTCTTCTTCTTCCACTCGAGGGCCCCGTCTCCACCCTCTTGGTGGAGCTGGGCTGGGAGGGCAGCGGATCAGAGAGAGGTAACAGTTGGGCGCCAGGCACTCGTCTCCCTACAGCTGTACTGCAAGCTCTCCTAGCAGGGGAAGGATGTGGTGGTTTAGCTCCAACACACTGCAGTCATGGAGAGACATGTTGTGTGGGTCAATCCTCCACTATCCGCTATAGGGACAGAATAAGTCGGAGACTTAGCTCCTGCTCAGTGCCACATGTCACCAAGCTGTTACTATTAGGTGTTGTATAAAATCTAGATTGTTGGTTTGGATGGTGGAAAGCAGTGAGGGGAAGGGAGGCC